TGATACTGGTTTGACTTAACTGAAGACTGGGGTTGAGCCCCGAGAGGTCAGCAATCACCTGTATTTTTATTATTTAGTTAACTGTTTGACACATTAACCAGTTTGGTAATTTCTGCATTTTTGATTTTGCATTATTTACAGAATGAAAGTGATCAAGTAACCAAATTAAATATAAGTTTTTTTAAAAGAAGTTTTTTTTATGTTTTTACAATATATATATAAAGGGAAAAACAATGACCAACAAGCAAATTCTTTGATATATTTATATCCCCCGCCGAGTACTGGTTATTATTAAAGGAACTCCACTGAGGTTTATAAGCTTAAAAACATAACATTTTAATTTTTCACATAGATAAACATGAGCACTTTAAACATGAGCACATATAACTAAGAAATACACCAGAAATACACTTAAAGTCATATGTTTGTGCTATTCTCAGTCCGATTTGAGTGAAAAGCGTTTAAACGCTTTTCAATTTTGGGTCATTTATCACTATTATAATAATTATCCAAGAAAAACGGAGCGAGCTAATGATCTGAAATTTTGCACATAAGTTATTAGTATAGATCTACATCAAATGGAGTAATAGTCTCAAAATATTATTTACAGTCCCGTCATGTCAAAAAACCTTAGCTGAGTCCCTTTAACATAACAACTGAAGACATAAGGCTTTATTTATATATTAATCATGGCATAAACAATAATATTCTTTGAACTTGATAAATATTCAGGGCAATAACAGAGCCATAACTTTGTGTTAAATAGTAAAATCTGGAAATGCCAATGAGATGTATGCATACAACATAACTAATCAAGGGCCATAAATCTGAGTTATAAGTATCTGACTGGAACAAGGCGACTATATGCATATCTCCTCTTAGTATCCCATAAAGTTTCATTGAATTCCAGCCAGTAGTAGCAGAGAAGTAGCGAGGAAACAAATATTTTTCTATATGGATACTGCATAACTAATCAAGGGCCATAGCTCTGAGTTAAAGTGTCTGACCGACACAAGCCGACGATATGCGCATCTTCTCTTGGTATTGAAGGTTATCATAAAGTTTCGTTGAATTCCAGCCAGTAGTTGCAGAGAACTACTCCGGAAACGATTTTTACTCCATATGCATATTGCATTACTAATCAAGGGCCATAACTCTGAGTTAAAGTGTCTGACCCGAACAAGCCGACGATATGCGCATCTTCTCTTGGTATTGATGATTCCCATAAAGTTTCGTTGAATTCCAGCCAGTAGTTGCAGAGAAGTAGTGCGGAAACGATTTTTACTCCATATGCATATTGCATTACTAATCAAGGGCCATAACTCTGAGTTAAAGTGTCTGACCCGAACAAGCCGACGATATGCGCATCTCCTCTTGGTATTGATGATTCCCATAAAGTTTTGTTGAATTCCAGCCAGTAGTTGCAGAGAAGTAGTGCGGAAACGATTTTTACTCCATATGCATATTGCATTACTAATCAAGGGCCATAACTCCGAGTTAAAGTGTCTGACCCGAACAAGCCAACGATATGCGCATCTCCTCTTGGTATTGATGATTCCCATAAAGTTTTGTTGAATTCCAGCCAGTAGTTGCAGAGAAGTTGTGCGGAAACGATTTTTACTCTATATGCATACTGCATAACTAATCAAGGGCCATAACTCTGAGTTAAAGTGTCTGACAATAACAAGCTGACGATATGCGCATCCTCTCTTGATATTGATGATTCCCATAAAGTTTCGTTGAATTCCAGCCGGTAGTTGCAGAGAACTACTCCGGAAACGATTTTTACTCTATATGCATACTACATAACTAATCAAGAGCCATAACTCTGAGTTAAAGGGTCTGACCGGAACAAGCCTACGATATGCGCATCTCCTCTTGATATTGATGATTCCCATAAAGTTTTGTTGAATTCCAGCCAGTAGTTGCAGAGAACTTCTCCGGAAACGAAATTCGGACGGACGGATGGATGGACGGACAGACGTACAACGCCAAAACTATATCCCCCTCCTGATTCCATCGGCGGGGAATAACAAGAAAATTGTAGACCCCCACAAGAAAATGTTTCATGATTAATAGCAAAGCTCTAGCTATTTGGGTTTCTTTAAAAGAAGATTTTTTAAGTTTTTACTATATACAAATAAGGAAAATCAATGACCCCCCCCCCCCCCCCCGGATGGGGCCAATTTTCGACCCCCGGGCATCTATTTGAACAAACTTGGTAGACACTGACTGGATGATGTTTCATGCCAAATATTTGAGTTCTAGTTCTTACGGTTTTCTAAAGGAAGATATTTTAAGTTTTTTCTTTCAGTTGCCATAGCATTCCTTTATGGAAAACAGAGTTCTGCTGGAAATTTAATTCTTTGAACAATTTTGAAAGTTGACTACCAAAGGAACGTTCTTGTGAAGTTTGGATGAAATTTGTATTAGCGGTTAATGTGTTTACGCAAGGAAGCCGGACAGGAAGACGCCGGACGAAAAGTGATCACAAAAGCTCACCATGTCACTTTGTGACAGGTGAGCTAAAAACAAACAAAAACACTAAGAAATTCTGTCAAATTGAACTTTAATCTTCTAACATATTACATAGATTTAAAGGGACTCCACTGAGGTTTTTTTGAAATGATGGAACTGAAAATATTTTTCCGGATGAAAGTTCCATTTGATGTAGGTTTAGACTACTAATCATTGTGCAAAATTTCAGATCATTCGCGCACTTCTTTCTTCCAGAAAATTATTCAAATTGTAAAAATATGACCAAAAATGAAAAGCGTTAAAACACTTTTCACACAAATCGAGCTAAGAAAAGCATAAAAATACGATTTTCAATTTACATGTATTTCGAAGTATATTTCTTGACTTAGGTCTTTGCATATATTTCAGTTTAAAGTGCCCCAGCTCATTTATGTACGAAAATTCAAATATTTTGTTCTTCAGCTTTTTAACCTCAGTGGAGTCGCTTTAATAAATATTATAATTCTAAATCAAAATGATATCTTTATGTATTTTCTATATTTTAAAAATATTTACATTATAATATAAAGTATGGCCAATATTGTTAAGATCATTATAAATATACATCAGATTGTGCTATTTTAGTAGAATGTTACATATTTTTTGTTCAGAAGTAATACTTAAAGAGGCACACAATACAATTGGAATAGCAGTTCAACATTGTTTTCTAGATTCCTGGTTAAAATGATATAAGTGATTCAGAAATTATGTATTCTGACTTATGAAGTATATAATTATGAAATCAAATGAAAAAAATGTAATAAGAAGCAATGATGTCATTTCTTGTTTTGAATGAAGTTGTAAATAAGTTATTTTAAGAAACAAGAGGGCAATGATGGCCCTGAGGTCGCTCACCTGTATATAGGCCCCTGAAGCGGAGCCAGTTTAAACCCAAGGGCTTTTATTTGAACAAACTTGGAACACCCATTAGAAGATGTTTCATGAGTTTCATAAATTTTTACTACACACATATAATGAAAAACAATGACCTCTTTCTCCCCCCCCCCCACCGGCAGGGCCAATTTTAACCCAAGGGTTTTCATTTGAACAAACTTGGTAGACACCCATAAGAAGATGTTTCATGCTAAACATCTAAGCTCTAGCTCATTGGGTTTTTTAAAAGAAGATTTTTAAGTTTTTACTATACACATGTAGTTAAAAACAATGACACCCCTGGGGCGGGGCCAGTTTTGACCGCAGGGTTCTTATTTGAAAAAAAAATTGTAGACACTAACTAGAAGATGTTTCATGCTTAATATCTAAACTCTACCTATTTGGGGTTTTTCAAAGAAGATTTTAAGTTTTTGCTATACACATATAAGGATAATCATTGACCCCCGGGGCGGGGCCAATTTTGACCCCAGGGCTTTTATTTGAACAAACTTTGTAGACACACACTAGAAAATGTATTTCATGCCAAATATCTAAGCTCTAGCTCTTTGGGTTTTTTAAAAGAAGATATTTAAAGTTTTTTCTTTCGGTTGCCATGGCAACCAGAGTTCTGCATGGAATTAAATTCTTTGAACTATTTTTTAAGGTGACCACCAAAGCAACATTCCTGTGAAGTTTGGATGAAATTGGCTTAGTGGTTTATGAGGAAATGTCATTTACGGTAAAAGTTTACGGACAGACGACGGACGATGGACGAAAAGCGATCACAAAAGCTCACCCTGTCACTTTGTGACAGGTGAGCTAAAAAATGCAAAATCAAAATATAATGTATTAGTTTACTTTATTTCTTGCCAAAATATTATTAATATGTACATGCCAGCAAACACTGGCCGTTATAGAGGATACTAAGAGAAATTTCACATGTTGGTTGTATTGAATTTTATCATGTTAAGTTTCTTGTGTTTCATTGCTAAAATTTGAATAGTATTGTCTAAAACATTTTTTTTAAATCACCTAAGATGCCCTCTATGATCCTCAACACTTAAATTTGTGGAAGTCAATATATAGATATAAAAAATTTATATATTAATAATAGGAAAATAGAAAACTATTGAAAAACAAAAAACAAGAGCTCACCTGTATATAGGCCCCCAACCCCCCCCCCCCCCCCCCCCCCCCCAACGTTGCAGGGCAATTTAACCCAAGGGCTTTTATTTGCACAAACTTGGTAGACACTCATAAGAAGATGTTTCATGCTAAACATCTAAGCTCTAGCTCATTGGGCTTTTTAAAAGAACATTTTTATTAAGTTTTTTACTTTACACATATAGTTAAAAACAATGACACCCCTGGGGCCGGGCCAGTTTTGACCCCAGGTCTTTTATTTGAACAAACTTTGTAGACACTCACTAAAAGATGTTTCATGCTTAATATCTTAACTCTAGCTATTTGGGTTTTTTCAAAGAAGATTTTTTAAGTTTTTGCTATACACATATAAGGAAAATCAATGACCCCCGGGGCAGTGCCAATTTTGACCCCAGGGCTTTTATTTGAACAAACTTGGTAGACACCCATTAGAACATGTTTCATGCTAAATATCTTGGCCATAGCTCTTTGAGTACTTTAAAAGAAGATTTTTTAAGTTTTTACTATATGCATATAGGGAAAATCAATGACCCCCAGGGGCGGGGCCAATTTTCACCCCAGGGCTTTCATTTGAACAAACTTGGTAGACACCCATTAGAACATGTTTCATGCTAAATATCTTAGCTCTAGCTCTTTGGGTTCTTTAAAAGAAGGTTTTTTAAGTTTTTACTATATGCATATAGGGAAAATCAATGACCCCCCGGGGCGGGGCCAATTTTGACCCAAGGGCTTTTATTTGAACAAACTTGGTAGACACTCACTAGAAGATGTTTCATGCCAAATATCTAAGCTCTAGCTCTTATGGTTTTTTAAAAGAAGATATTTAAAGTTTTTTCTTTCGGTTGCCATGGCAACCAGAGTTCTGCACGGAATTAAATTCTTTGAACAACTTTTAAAGGTGACCACCAAAGGAACATTCCTGTGAAGTTTGGATGAAATTGGCTTAGTGGTTTATGAGGAGATGTCATTTAAAGTAAAAGTTTACGGCCGGACGGACGACGGACGGACGGACGCCGGACGAAAAGCGATCACAAAAGCTCACCCTGTCACTTTGTGACAGGTGAGCTAACAATAAACTGATAAATATTGAAGGTATTATGGAATGTATCAATCTATGGGTCACAGAGATGTTAAAAACATTAACTTTGTAAAATTATCATTTTACTACATAAGACAATAATGATCCATGATGTCATGTGTATTTAAATGTCTACAAATAGCTTAAAGGTAACAATGTTAACCCTTTCACTGCCATAGGGACGGCATATGCCGTCCCTATTATTTTCGACTTATTTGCCATATGGATGGCTGTTGCCGTTTCTTTTATTATTTAAGATAATCCACTGAAGGTTTATTGCATGAGAGGACTTACAGTATTTCCTTCGATTTTTACCTACGTCTTGATGTAATTTCGTACCCATTACTCCAGTGCATTATTTGAGATTTCACTAGCAACACTTAAAATAATCCTTTTCATTGGGCAAAATTACCTTAATTTGGAGAAGCTTTTCAGGCACAATATATCATGATCGGACTTAAAATCGCTCTAAATATCGATTTTCTTTTAAATTCTGAATGTATGTCTTTAACATCTTTTCAGGTTTTTAAGGCTTGGGATGCTTTCATTGCATGCCATCTTTCTTTGTTGATCATTGTTTTCATGTTATGAGTAGCTCCTTTAATTTGTTCTATATTTTTATCATGAGATCATGTAAATTGATTGGAATTTTGAGATCGACTCTTATTTAATCTTTTGTCGATACTCTGTTTGAACAATTTATCATTTTGTATCAAGTTTGTTTATGGTATAGTGTTCAAATGTACATGAAAGATAAAACAATATACCAGCACCTGGATAACACAAAAAGAGGATTCATCCTTTCTAGTTCCAATATTGTCCTTAAAGAATATCGTAGATTTAAAGCACATACTAAAATATATTAAATGTCTTGGTGGTGAAATAATAATAGAACATCACAGATAATGCATTTATTGAAAATGACAAGACTAACAAATTTTTATTGAATATCACTGTTATGCACATATCCAGCCAGACAACTGAACGTCGGCAGTTCTACCCAGGTGCCGTTCGAGCCTGTAATTTACAGAGCCGTACCTGAGGTTTTCCTCCACCAATTAAGAAGGTATCGCTTTATGACATTTACTTTAAGTCCAAACCAAATACATGCAATCAGTGACAAACTAACGTTCGAGACTGAAAATAATTCAGACATATGGAAAGCATAAAACTATACACACTATACCAAAATAGAAAAAAAATCCCTAAAGCAAGCACAGCACGGCAAAATTGACAATGTTGCAAGCTCGATTTGATAAAGTTTGTTCATGGACGGTTTTGGAAAGTACTAGTTACCGGCTACACCCCCCTAGCATTGGGTTATGTAAAATCAAAGTCTTGATTAAAAGTATTATAAAAACTTGACTTTACACTGCAATCCTAATTTTATGGGGCTGTGAAACACAGGTAATTGAAGATGATTACTCGTTTACAACACAAACAAGGTATATTCTAAGAAACGTCTGACCTGTTAGACTGTAAAATACCCTTTTTCAATATAAAAAATGTTGTAACTGTGGATATCCTTATTGGGAATAAAATGCTTACCAAGATAATGTGGGGCTGTGCCTGCTTCAATTCTAAAGAATTGTGAATAATTAATTTGATTAACACGTTTGGAAACAGGAAACCAAACCAACAAACCAAAGACAACGTTTGAAAATAGAAGAGGTCCTTAGACCGGCCTATGAGGAACACTAAAGGAAATTTTAGTGAAAGGAAAAAGTATCCTACTTAACGAGAAAATTATGTTCATTCATTTTAAACATAACAAAATCTGGGAAATGAACAAAAGAAAAATTAAATCCTTAAGATCGCCCACTACGACAAATTTGAAAATGTTGCAGGCTCGGCTTGATTGATTTATTCATGAACAAGCAAGACACCTTTCACGTCTGCTAGCACCGGCCAAATTAGAATTCACATTTTGCATGAACTGGGAAAATGTTGCACATCCGCAGATGTGTTTAGATGAGGTTGTTATAAGTTCTCTACAAATTTTGATAAATTGCAACATTTACGCAAAAAGTTTTTCAGCAACATTAAATCTACCTATCAATTTTGTGACTTACACTTCAAACACGCGTATATTCATTATTTATTTTAAAATTAAAGGTTGCTAGAAAATGAATGCATTAAAAACATATTCAATAGACATTAAAAATAGTTCTTTGCGAACTTACATGTAATTTTGATTAATACATGGAAAAGAATAAATGCTCATTCATTTATTTACATTTGTGATAGTTTTTGCATACTTGCTTGATCATTGTTGAACAATTATCCTTTCACACAAACTATGGGTGATTCCTTATTGTCGTCATAAAAATAAATCATAAAAACACACTTATGTATACAAATTTAAACTGCTGTTTAACGTTCATTCATCGCACATCTGTCACGTCATTTGGATCCATGCAAGGTTTAGGGCCATATGCCCATTCCTTTATATCTGTGATTTCTTTTGCATATTTGCTCTGATTATTCATCCTTTCACATAGGTTGCACATAGCTCTTTGATATACATACAAATACCCAGCTGAGTAATATTGACTTTTCCGCTTTAAATATGAGGCATACGTTTCAACACTGATATGTTTAAGAAAGTGTGCAAGATCTTGAACGGATTCGAATTCATCGGTGGATACAAATGTTCCCTTGGGAAATATTTGTTTCGTTTCGCCAGGGCTTCCACCACGTACCAACATAATTAGATCATAATTGAAATTATCGTAAAATTTCTCTGTTATATATTGATGACAAAACGCATTTTCGAAGGCTAAGTAAAACTTAAATGTTGTATTTAAAAGTTTAAAGCAGTCTTCGTCGTGTTTGAGGTTAGTACCACATGTCCACTTTTCCCCACAGTTTCCCAAGACTTCAACGTCAACATATTCCTTTAACTTATTTACATATTCCTGACGTTTAGACCTGACACTACAATGAGAAACTATTATTAAGAGAGTTTTGTTTTTCTTTTGTGAAATTGATTCGTAGTCCCTTATAACTTCTGTTTTGTGTTTCAGTATTTCTCCGTATGGCAAATATATGTCAGAATTATCTTTGTCATAAGTCATCGTCCAGTTGAAGGAGTAGTCTTTATTACTATACCACCATGTCCCTGTGTCGCCGTATGAAATAGGAGCTTCGTGAGCTGCAAAAATCCATATCTGGCCATTTGGACGAGTGAAGTTTACATTCTCTGGCATTCTACGACCATCAAAAATGATAGCCTGACTGATATTTGCATCTGATGTTTTTACAGTCATAATACAGTTATTGTATTTGCACTTTTCAAATCCACAATTAAACGCATCCGTATGACGTACTGTTAAATGTTCAGTTGGGTTGTACCAGAGAATGCGAAACCTTTCTTTTCTTTGTCTCATCAATAACTGAAATGAAATGAATGACAAATTAAGAATGCGAAACCTTTCCTTACTTGTAATAATTGGTCCCATTGATGTCAACTGTATTTGAACCTTAAAGAGAAATAACGGAAACCTTTATGAAATGAAATGGCATATGCGAAGATGCTTTGTCGAAGATAAATAGATAGATTACCTTACTCTTCATGTAGTAAGTTACATACTACCTCCAAAACATAGAAATAATAAAAAGAAAATACCAAATTTTAAAAATACAAAATTTGTATTTTACCATGTTTGACTTGAAAATAAGTACTCTATATTATAGCGAACTTGTCATTAGCAACCACTTCATTCGAAGGGATGCCTTGGCAAGCGACATTGCTAGTCTCTTATTCATCTACTTTAATGAAATGGGTTGAAAACTTGAAATTTAGTCTTTGACATTGGATTTTTTACATGACATTGTGATATAGATACAACTGGCTTTCGGCACGTCGGTGGCTTTTCTCAGGTGCCTGTTCTTGTCTGAAATAATGCACATAGGGGTACCTGAGGCCTTCCTCTACCAGTAAAATAGGAATGTCGCCATATGACTTACATACGGAATACCGTTAGGGCCATTGTGGTTATATTTTATTATCTAGAGGACGACAATGCGACAGTCCTTAAGTGCGATGCCGACAATAATATGGTGCGATGACGACAATGCGATAGTGCAACAATGAGATAGTGTGATGGCGACAATGGGATAACATGATGACGATAGTGCGTTAATGCGATGGCAATAATGCGATAGTGCGATAATAATATCGCGTTGTCGCCATCGCGGTATCGTACTGTCCCCATCATGACATCGCACTTTTGTCATCCCGTTAACGCACTATCGTATTGGCGCCACCACGTTATTGCATTATCGACTTTCGCTTTCCGGTACAAATGCACACATCGTGTATCTATTTGTGCGGTTCTAAACTGCTGACGAATAAGCTGACGGTATAGAATACAATAGAGGAACGTCCCCCTCTGGCACCTCAATGTATCTTTTCGATAGGGGTGGCGCCGAACAAAAGTGATCAACAATTATCAACGTATACAAGTGTTTCGGGAATGAATCAGGTATTTTTTTCACTATTTGAGGCCTCAAAGAAGGTGTGTGTGTGGGGGGGGGGGGGTAAAAAGCGTCAAAACACATCTGTAAGAGGTAAAAGGTTATTTACATAGAATAATTTGTTGACCAGTTACACTTACAGTGAAAACCGCTGACCATTTAATAATCTAGAGAAATATGTTATTTTGCCGTGAATTTCTTATGTATATTGTAATATTTGTAAATATAACATGTTCTACATCTCGCAAACCAATTTAACCACTGCTGAGCAACTAAAATATAAATAGAACTGCAAATCTTCAGCAAATATGCAAAATGTAAGGGCAAGTCTTTCATTCGTAATGTGAAAAAGAGAAAAGTGTATATAATTATACCGCAACACAAAATAATAATGAATCCTGTATTTATAAGGTAAAAAACCAACACAAAAACACGAATTTCCGCTATGTACTACTGACCAATTTAAATATTGTTTGCATATTTTGAATGTCAGAATGTCAACATCACATCCTTTTTATCTGAAATGTGTCCAACATTTGTTAAAGCTTCACACAATTTGTCTTTTTCCGTGTTTTTTTATATAAGTATTTCCCCTATCTTTTGATATAAAATGTTACTTTTTATTAATTTATTATTTTATTTAGACAAGTGTAAAGTTTAGAAAATATAAAAAAGAAGAAAAAATCTATTTACAAATGTGAAATTATTTTTCTTTTTTCTATACGGTCAGCTTATTCGTATGAACTTAACCCTTTACCACATATATACGCGAAACAACGCACTTTCGTTCCCCCCCCCCCTTTTAGGCCTCAAATAGTGAAAAAATGTCCTATTTAGGCCGCAAACACATTTTTTCGTTTGAGAAATGTTGCTAAAATATGAGCAGTTTTTCTGCGCCGCCCACCCATCCAAAAGATACATCAGGGGGTTGCCAGAAGGGGGATGTGCCCCCTTCTGTTAGGGGGGTTTGAAGGGGGGCGGAGTCGCCCTCATCGCCAAGAAAATTTTGGACTTGTGAAAGGCTAAAAATGACCCCAGGTCGATCATAATGTAACGTGTAACTAACGCTGAAAAGCCTTTGACTATCTCAATCCCTTTAGAAGTTGCAGCACTTTGAAATAAATTTTGATGGAAAAAATCGAGGCAAAATAGTGATTTTGGCAATTTTGAGATGTCCCCTCGTTGCCATGGTAACAGGAAATTTAAGACTGAGCATGTCGTTACAAAGGCAGTGGTCCAGTCAACATTTGTGCCAAGTTTGATAAGTATTGAAGCATTTTTCATAGTTTCATAGCAGTTTGAACTTGTAACAGGAGGCTTTTCAGTGAAAACGGCCATTTTTCACAATATGCTCATGGGGGAAAGGGTTAAGAACCGCCCAATCAGATATAGGATGTGCGCATGTGTATCGGAAGACGATAGTCGTCAATAACATGACGACAATGCGATAATGCGACATTGCGATAACTTGATGATGACAGTACGACAACGCGATTACGACAGTACGATACCGCAATGGCGACAACACGATAGTATTGTCGCACTATCGTATTTTCGCCATAGCATTATATCACTGTCGTCATTGCTTTATGGCACTGTCCCATCGCATTATAGTATTGTCACCATCAACTATCGCATTGTCGCATTATTGTACTGTCGTCATCGCATTATCACACAGTCGCCATTGCATTGTCGTATTGTCGTCATTGCACGGTCTTGTTGTCGCCGTCCGGATTATAAAGTAAAACATCGATGACTCTAACATTATTCCGAACTTATACTGTGATTTGACGTAAAACACAAACGAAAAAAAAGCTTACCTCATTTGCATTCCAGGTTTTTTTCAGCAAGTACAATGACAAGAGCACAAACATAGCAAGAGCAATGGCTAACTGTAAAATGTAAAAGAAATTCTGACTAAGAGTGTATATCCAAGGATTAAAGCAGTGCATATATACACAACACAAACCCGAAGTTTGTGTTATATCACTTAACTGAGGTCAGATTAAAATTCAAACGTTTCTCTTTTTTGTATTTGTTTTGCAATTTCGAGATTCAATTTTTGTTAACTTTATTATTTATAACAGTATATTCTTGTAATCAGGAATATTTTTATAAAGGATACTTTCAACAAGTTTGTGATTTCATGAGTTAATTTGAATTAATTGTCCCCATATATTGTAAAAATCCATTAAAAATTTGCTCCTCCAACTTATATTTGCGGATGATCTTGAACTGTAAGTGTTTCTGCGTTAATTTATTGACGGTCACAATATTTAAATACACCTTTTTAAGAAGAACGTTAAACAATATGCGGACCACGCAGCCTACTTGAGTGCAAAGATACATTACATTTTGTCAAAATTGTTTTTGACTTTAGAATGTATTGATAGAGTTTATCTTTAAAAAGAGTTGGGCAGTCTTTTTATAATTTAGATAGTTTGATATTTTATCCAAAATATTTTTCGTTTTAATTTATTAGCCAATCACCATTATAAAAGTCAATATTTTGAAATATGTAACTCAAACTATTTCTTTACTGAATTGTGTAGAAAAACATGAGGTGTATAACAATCTACGAATTAAATGTTCTATCGAGAATTGGGTAAATAATCAATGAACATTGTTAACGGTTTAATCCGAAGGAAAAAGATAACTTTAATCTCCAACAGATATTCTGACGCTGATGATTTTGTAAACACAAACAGTTTTTTGGGCCATTTTAAAAAAATGGACCTTTATGATGAGTCTATTAAAGAAACCTAAGTAAGAACAATGACGAATATATTTTTTGTGTAATGAGCTTTATTTTTTCTGTAATGACTGCAGCTGTAAAGTATTGAATACACCTATCACATGTGAAAAGATTAAAAAAGCTGCAAAAACACTTTAGCTTCATAAAGTTGGATGCTCAAATTGTATTAACAAATATTTTTCAAATCATATGCGTCATATTTTTCAATACAATTTAGATCTATTTAATTCAAAATACATTGAACACATACACAATTTTGTAAATCATTTAAATGTAAGAGTCACACAAGCAATGTCAGTATCTATGTTGACGTTGGCCGCCTTCCACAGTTTCGTTAGAATAGCGAAAAAAAAAAGGTGCAAATTGATAAATAATGACAATACAATGTTACAGAAAATATATAAACTATGTATTTCTTTTTGTTGCAAAAGCGATTTTATTTTGTTAAACAAAACCTGGATATAAATATGATTTATCTTAATAATATTTTGAAAATATTTTAGTAGATTGTATCTTATTTTAAACTTATTCAAACAAAAATGTGATAATTTTATGCAACTGTTTCACTCATCTGTAGCAAAAACAGTTGTGTTTCAGAATTTTATAAAAAATTGTTAAGAATTATATACATACGAAACTATTTTAAAGTAGTACCTTTCAAGGATCTTAGATTTTACATCACAATAATAAGAATTATAGCTGAACATACACTTAGAGTTCATGAAGGCAGATTTGAGCAAAATAGAACTCAACGTGGTAAAATCTTGTAGACTAATTCCATCTGGGCTTAATATTCATTTGGTATGTTGACAAAGTTAAGGAAGGGATAAAAATGATATTATTATAATCGACCTTCTCTGTGTAAAATTATTGAACTAATTTTTCCTGACAAAAATTAATCTAGCTTAATTTTTGAAAGAATCTATTAAATCAGTAACATATTATAAGTACTTATAATAACTATTATATTTTGATATTTTGTTACAAATATTAACCAAATATTCAAATGAAACTCATAGCCTATTTTGAGACAGACACAGTGCTTTAAAACTTTCGTTTAAATTGTTTAACACACGTAGAAGCGTACATTGGATAATAGAACCATTCAAATCTCTGAAAAATTTAAAGCAAACATGTTTAAATGACAAAGACTCTATTAAGTAGCAATTGAGCACACATATCCGCAATCTTTAAATACTGTAGAAAACGTGACTCAACAGATACAGAATGTTTTTTTTCCAAATCGGCAGAACTTTCCTTACAAAAACGAAATAAAACTTAAATCTAAAATAATAATGAAAAAAACAAAAAAAAAAACATGGTTCGGACCAAAATGTCATTAGGTCCGAAGAGACAACCATGAAGCTAAAACAAATTATCTTAATCATAGAAATAATGAAAATAAAACAAGATTACAAATTGCCAGTTAACAGTTTAAAAGAACTATGAATTATTATATGAACGAAAATAAAAAATGCCCCCCAAAAAACAACAAAAAAACCCTTAAATATGAGCACCAAAAATTAAAACAATATTGGAGATATTTAAACGGCCTTAATCATAAATCAAAAGAGTATGAGTGACCAACCGTGCTTGTTTCAAAAATATAAAAAGCTCGGACCCTGATAATAATGAATTCAACTGGAGCGAATATGTAAGCAATTTTAACGCGTACTACTTTTTAAATTAGGAAATTTGCGCAAACGAAATTTCAAAATATATTTAAAATCTTAATAATGAATAGGCAGCATGACTTCCGATAATATTTAAAATTAATAAAAAATATACTCAAAACCTTTTGTTGCCTATTTACACACAATTTTTCAATGTAATTTTAGATACTGGATTTTATCCCTAACACCTGGTAAGAAGGATATATTATACCAATATACATGTATTAACATTAGGGCGATTCGGAGAAACTGGAATGCTATCGCCTAAATAATTTTAAGTACACGTTGAATATTATTTACTTCTGTATTAAAGAATGGAACAAATTTATATTAAAAATCAAATAACTTTCTTAATGAAAACCAGGCTGGCTTTAGAAAAAACTACAGCTGCTCAGACCATATTTTCACGTTACATGATTTCATAGAAATTCAAGAGAAAAAAAAAACATAAATTATTCTGTATTTGTTTTTTTTCTGCTGCTTTTGTTTAAGTTTTGAGAATAGGTTTACGGTAAACCCCAATCAAAATGGGAATAAATGGGAAAAATATTTATTGTAATTTTAAATATGTATCAAAATATAAAATCAAGAATGACGCGTTTAGGATGAATTTCCTTGGTTTTGTTTTCTAATCAAATACAGGCGTCAGATAGGGTAAAATTTTATTTTCAATCTTCAAGAGCACTTCGAATCACTAGGATCAGTAGGGATAAAGTTAACAGATACCCTCGCCGCTGAATATTGGCTTAAACAGCTCGTCCTATTCTATGACGATTATACAGTGATTATTCAAAACTTATTTAAAAAATCCAAATACACTACTAAACTTTTTCGATTTTCAGCCGTTTTCAAGTTATGACACAAGAGCGATTTTCCAGTCCGCCAGGAAACTTAGACATCAACACGATATGAGTTTTAAGGAATGTTTTCGACAAGCCATTAAACTAAGAAAAGTTCTATTTGAGGTTCTATGGCCTAGTCATGACATTAACATTTCTAATGATGAGATCGATAAAAACGATGAGGAAGAAAATGCGTAAGAAGGATCACCAGTCTTAAGTTTACAAAAATACAATGGGCTCCATAGAAGTCTACGATCATAAACAGCAGAAATGGGTCCCTTATAAAGATGATCCAGAAAGATAGTATCAACATTTTAAAGATTTGAGGGACAGTTACGTAACACCTAATCACAAGGGTCATTACATCGTAAGTAGCGGCCATTCGCGTAGAAGAGTCGAAACACTAGAAGCAAAACTCAAAGCCACCGAGGAAAAGCTAAAATTAGCGGAAGTGGAGCTAAATCATGTCCAGCGTCCCTTAGTTAATTTGATTAGCCCCGTGGCCCATGCGATTGAAATTGCAAAACGGAATTTAAACGGAACATAGATTCCAGTAAACCGGAGCGTAAGACGCGCCGTACGGACAATGACTGGAGTCACTTAACTTACCAAATGCCCTCGGATTTTACATACTGATAAAGTTTTTTTCTGGACCGGAGTAACTAGCATGGCTCTTTAAAATAATATACAAAGAAGACAAATACTGTTCCCAGTTTGACATTTTCATTTTTTTTACATACATGTACACAGTTATGCATTCTTACAAAACATCTGTATTTAGACATTTTATACATTATACAGTTTATATACAAATAAAGAATAGCTATATGCTAAATGTAAAAACGTTGTACACGAGTCACTCTCTGTTTACAAGCACAACATGTCCTTTCATTCAAAAATCGATCCCCGCAAAATGTACAAGGTATGTCCGCACCTATAAATGCCGCTGATTTGTTTTGCTCATACAAATTTTACATTCTGTTATATCACCTTGATTGGTATTCAGGGAGGTTGTAGCGGTACTGTCTGTCACTCTTTGGTGTGCCTTTTGCTGTTCACTAGGTTACACAAAAGTTTGTCGACAATACGATTCAGTTGATTTTGCAACAGTGCATCAACGAGCAATTCGAACGCTTGAAGACCTTTTAGATATTAGTTCAAACAATTTTGTATTAATCTTCACCTTTGATTTTTAGCGTTCGACCCATTCCCTCGCACTAATATTCAAAATGTCGTTTTCTACGAGATGGTCCATTATATTGGAAGCTTGTTTCTTGGTTACAGTGTTTATCAGAGTAATCCAAGCTTTTTTGACCACTGTTCTGTAAATGTCTTCCATGCTTATGATAAACGTGTTCGTTATGCGAAAGTTTATATACACGGGTCCGATTTCTGATTGGTTGCTATTTTTAGAATGACGTTTTCAATATATTTTGGAACTAGCACTATGTATTATTAACAGTCACGTGATTTTGACAATCATTGTGGTTACACTCCGAACATTGTAGGATTCATGTGGTCGCTTTTTAGATAACAGGGTTTACTGCGTTTAATTCTGGTAGATTTCTGCCAATCTCTGGCATTAACTCTTTCAACCGAATGTAAGCGGTTGGTCTCAAACA